ACTCACTCCTGAGCATGTACTGCTAGACTGCCTGCAGACTCTTAGTAGAGACCGAAGATCTGGCCCAAGGGAGCTATGTGGCAAGATAAGCTGTAGGGAACAAGCAGCGACCTCAGACACATGACCCTTGTTGTGACTCAGGACTGATTATTTAGCATGGCTGATGCCTAAGTTATCATGTATCTTAACCTGATATCAAGCAAAATTTAAAAATTCTATACTCTCAGTGTAAATCAACAAAGGTTAGAACCAGTGATATCCCTTCCTAGGCCAATTCATGAGTGCATACGAGTTCGTAGTCCACATCTTGCTACTAGACCTCTTTCTAAGTAGCCTTTTCACTTCCCAGGACAGATCCTGAGTGCCCACACCTCATAACACACCCTGAGCAGTCAACTTTACCTGCACACAAAAAAAAAACACATTTGAGGTATTACGATATTTTATTTTCACAATTCCCCAAAGATTCTTCTACAGTTCCTAAGGAAACTTGCCACCCAGTTTGGGAATCATTGGTCTCCATCTATATTTTTAAACACCGAAGCATTTCAGTTTTAAATAAGTTATTTTTTTCCACATTTATCTTCTTCTTGGCATTTACCAGAAGTAACATTGTGCAGAAAGTTCTGGTTGTTCGTATATTTCTGGACTTGTAGTCTTGTTTCAGACTTATTATTATCCAGACTGTTGCTTCCTTGCCTTTCAGGCAGATGCAATCCAACTTGTAAGAAAAGACTCCTTAATATTCGTCTGCTGGTGGGGTCTCTGCAGTAGATATACCCCCCCATAAAACAGAGTCGGGAAACCTACATGGGGAACATACTTATCTAACATGCACCAAGAAAAACTAAACAACGAGAGAGAAGAAGCATCTTGGCGCTGCCCTACAACTGCTTCCCATATATAATGAAACTAAGACTACTATTGATCTTACCAAGGCATTTGATCTGGTTAGTCAAAAAAAGTCTGTTCAGTGCACTGAAGAAGATTGGGTGTCCACCTACTGTACTGAGCATTATTGAGTCGTTCCACACAGGTATGAAAGGTACAATCAACTTTGATGGTGTAACATTGTAGGAGTTTTTAATCAAAAATGGAATGAAGCAGGGGTGTGTACTTGCTCCTACCCTCTTTGGAATACACTTTTCACTTCTTTTGACACATGCCTTTCGAGATCAGGAGGGTGGTATTTTCATTCATTTTCGATCTGATAGCAGCCTTTACAATGCACGCAGGCTGAAGGCCAAAACCAGGATAAGAAAGGTACTTATCGGAGAGCTGCTGTTTGCAGATGATGCGGCAATAACCACCCACTCAGAGGAGGAGCTGCAATGTTTACTATCTGCCTTTGCTGATTCGTGCTGTGAATTTGGACTAACAGTCAGCAAAAAGAAGACAAAGGTTATGGTGCAAGGTGCCTGTGTCAGACCTGCAGTCTACACTGACGGTGAAGAGCTTGAGACAGTAGACCATTTTACCTATCTGGGTTCCACAGTGAATAGTAAACTATTGCTGGACCAAGAAATCAACATCAGGATAGTTAAGGCAGCAACAACAACAATGAACAAATTGACAAAGAGAGTTTGGGAGAACAGAAAGCTCGCAATTAAAACAAAAACCCTTGTCTATCAGGCTTGTGTTCTCAGCACTCTGCTTTATGGCAGTGAAACTAGGTCAACCTATTTGCACCAAGAGAGACGGCTTAATAGCTTTCACATGCGATGCCTAAGAAGAATACTTGGCATTAAGTGGCAGGACAAAATCACAAACACTGAGGTACTGGAAAGAGCAGGTACTACAACAGTCTTTTCCATGCTCAGTCTACAAAGGCTCAGGTGGCTGGGTCACACTTGGAGAATGGAGGATGGTAGAGTCCCTAAGGACGTCCTTTATGGTGAATTAAAGACAGTAAGAAGATGTCGAGGCCAACCTCTACTACGTTATAAAGATGTATGCAAGCGGGACATGAATGATACAGGTATTTAGGCAGACTCATGGGAACAAAATGCCATGGACCGTGTAGTGTGGAAAAGGCATATCAGAAAGGGAATGAGACTGAAGGAAGAAATTATTGCAGAAAGGATGAGAGCTAAGCGTCTGAAAAGAAAACGATTAAACACAAATGTTGTTAACAATGGCCCTGAAATCCCATGCCATCATTGTGGAAGACTTTTCTTGACACGGGCAGGTCTTGCTAGTCACACTCGCCATAGCCATGGGCTGTGAGTCTCTCATGCCTCCTTATAGCACAGTATAAGACTATCGTCTGGAAAGACAGAAAGGTGCCACTGAAGAATACTAATTTTAGGGGGTAACAAGAATAGACCCGCTGCACCCCCCAAACATATGACGCACAATATCACCTTGTCGAAAAGTGACCAAAACTCAACATTTCTTCTGCTTCAACTCCTCCTCTAATTCCTTTCGGGTAGAGTTTCTGAGAATTTTAACCAATCATGTGTTTCTGATGCGCTTCGAAAAAAGGTCATTTATTTTCTCTTAGATTCTTATGAGGAGAAAGGGGTTATGAATGAACAAAAAGAAAATGACGCTTGCAAGATAGCAAGAGTACAGAAACTGACCAACAAACTTTGTCTTCTTTCCTGTTTATACAGAACTGTCATTTCTGTTGAACGTTATTTTCTATTCATAGCAAAGCTGGGATATTTTTACCTTTTAGTTGGTACTTCCAATGTGTTTTCCAGAGTTTATAAACTTACCGACTTAGACAAAACTTTCTTTGGAGAATAAACTTTAACAAGATCGTCACCCCAAAAAGGTGATAGGTTTGAAACCTATGTACATCAAGTTTTATATTTATTTACTTATATATTTCTGTTAAGTCTGGCAAAGGCTATTTTTTTTATTTTTCTAGAAAAAAAAAGGCGCCAGTACTCATAACAAGTCTAAAAAGGTGTCAGTAGTCAACACAAAGTTTCATTACACAAACGTTGGAAACATATTGTAAACAGGTGATGGTACTGCGTCCCACCATTGAGGAAAAAACAAACATAAACCCACTGTCTCCCCAGCAAGAATGTCGTAAGAGACAACTGACTGGAGGCTTCCTTTGAGGTCAGAGTGCGTCTGCCTGAGACAAGAAACCAAGTCTACATACAAATGAGACAGTTCCGTAAAACGGACGTGCACGCAACACTCAGGTTCTGGAACAAGATTAATGTCCAGAGGTGGAGGAACACCCAGAACTTTCTGCCGGCGAACACGAAGAAAAAGAACTCATCCAAGTCATTCTTCCCTCCCTTTTGCCCTGGCTTCTATTCTTTATATCACACATTCAAACTGGTGCCTGCCCACCAGCCTTAATTAAGTGCAGATAACAGTCTCAAACAACACATTTTATTTGATCATTTTGAGTACCCAAAATTTGCAATCCACAAAATAAATAAACACAGATCACCAACAAATATATCACAGAGGAATGGCGGGCTATTTATAATATTTAAAAAAAATAAGCAAATGTGAAAATAGCATGACTGTATCATTAGTAACTATTTAAACAATTTACAGGAGAATAATAAAGTGGTTCTGAATCTGCTCATACCATACTTGGCAATTATGAAAACATTCACAAAGACAGGTTAATTCAAATACAATTTTAAAATGTGAAAATACTGTGACTGTTTGAAATGTGTAACTATTTAAACATTTACAGGAGAATGATGAAGTAAAAAAAAAAAAAGGAAAATGCGTGGTTCTGAATTTGTTTTGAGGACCATACTTGCCAATTATAAAAACATTTTTCAAAGATAGGTTTAGTAAAATAAAACTTATGCATGTAAAAAAATATCATGAATTTTAAAAATGTGTAACTATTTATACAATTTTCAGGAGAAAAATGAAATGCAGACATTGGCAATGCATGGTTCTGAGGACCAGACGTGGCTTTTATGAAAACAACTATCACAAAGACAGGTTTAGTAAAACAAAATGTACACCAAGCAGAGATTCAAAGTAAAGACTACTCACAACAAGCTGCAGCAAAATGACTGGTCTTAGAAATTATTCTATAGATAACATAAAGCAAATAGTAAGTAAATAATTAGCTATTGGTAAACTATTACCTCTCCACTGGATTGAACACATGTTAGCTACAGAGCACACTGTATAATCTTACAACCAAAATAGGGCTCATTTTCATGGAACTGGTCTAAAGTTGGCTAAAGAACATATTATAACAGTTCAATGAAAATGTATCACATTTTAATTACATTGACCTAAAGTTGGCTAAAGAATATGTTATAACAGTCCAACCAATATATGGCACATTTTTATGGCACAAATAAAGTTGGGTTACACAACGTTATAACAGTCCAACCAAAATAAAAATGGAACGTTTTCATGGCACTGACCTAAAGCTGGCTAAAGAACATGTTATAACAGTCCAACCAAAATGTGTCACATTATCACTGCACTGTTCTAAAACTGGCTACAGAAATTGGTGTAATGGTTCCTACCACTAAAAATAAAATGTCACCTTTCTTCACATAAACTTTGATTAAAACGGAACGTTATAACAGCTCCTACCCTATTAGACACATTATTATCATATCTGAGTATGGAACAATGCTATAACATTTCATTTTCTCAAAAACATCTGTCACTTTTCCATTGCAGTGACCTAAAGTTAGCTACAGAACATGTTACAACAGTTCTTCCCTACAAACAAAATTTGTCAACTCTCCATTACATCTGATTAGAGCTGGTTATGGAACATGCTATAACAGCTCTATCCTACAAACAAAATCTGCCATCACACGGGACTACAGTTTGCTACAAAACATTGATATAACAGCCCCCAGCCCCACAGACAACAGAAAGAGTCAGATGTCTACAAGTCCTGTAAACTAAACGCCTGTAGAAATTCTCCAAGAAAAACATGCAGTGTGGTACGATGCCGAACTACTAAAATGACATATTTGCTGGAACTTCATGAGTGAGCAGTCTGTTACTTCAGAACATCTATGACTTGATATTCAACCTCATCTTACTTTGCCTTTTGCAGGAATTGGTTTTGAAGACTCAAGTGATGCTGGCTGTAAGATAAAGGCAGAAAACAGAAACATTATAAAAAATAAGTTATAATAGACAGCAAGTCTTCATCTTCTTCTGTGTTCACCCTTGAAAATGTGGCCGGCATGTTGTGTTGTGATTAACAGCTAGGCTAAAATTATATTCTTCAAGATGCAAAATGAAAAATCTTGTTTTTTCCCCCTTTAAAAGAAACAAACCAAAAGCTAACGTTCTACTGTCCTTTAAACCTCAATAGAGCATTGACTCCCAAGTCCAGATCATCGAACTGCTCATGAGGCTACACTAAACAAAACCAGTGCTTTATTAATATCCTACCCCAAACAGGGGAAATCCACAGGTCACGGGACAGTCTAATATTTCAGGGGGTTTTAGATAGGTTGCATGCAGTCATGGTACCCAGGCTGCATGCAGTCGTGGTACCTAGGCTGCATGCAGTCGTGGGACCTAGGCTGGACTATCTCGTAGGGCCAGTTCTAGATGTTTTAGGGTCGTTAAAAACATCAGAAAGCTGGGAAACCCAGTCTTACCACCCTCTAAAATGTTGGACTGTCCTGTGACGTCATCTGGGGTAGGATATTAATAAAGAACCAAACAAAATGTTTGGACTGTGAGACAGCTTAAGCACAGTACTACCATGCCCCAAGTATTTACACCTCATTAGAGAACTAACTCTTAAGTCCAGATCATTGAACTGCTCAACAGCCTACACTACACTTTATCAGTGGCGAACAAACCAAAGGCCACTGTATTGGACTGTGAGATAACAAAGTACAATACTATCATGACTCAAGCACACAAAGTTAGCGCATAACAAAAAAGGCAACCCTTTCACTGCCTCTTATTCTCACATAAATAATTAGTAGTCTTATTTAAGCTGGGTCCACATTAGGGTTACAAACAATCTAGAACAAAATATCTTCTCCATTTGGAAATCAACTCTTGACTGTTGCAACAATAACTTTCTGTGTGAACCACTGAATGAACTAATGACAGTGAAATTTATATGAGACAAAATTGCTGATATAGACAACTTATTTCAGGTGAACGAAAGAAGAAGCATTTGGAGTTACGACAATGTTCCAGAAGGAGATGACATGTAAGTAAAAATAAAGAACCCTTTTCCACACCTTCAGGAGTATTGGGCATATAGGGCTAGACCTGGGAGTCAAGGTCATTTTTTAAGAAAACCCGGTTCGACCAGAATCTGAACCAACGACCTTCCGATCTACAAGTGAAAATCTAGCGGATGAACCATGGTGACTCTCCAAGATGACATGACTGCATTTTAATCAATATAGAATGTTGTACACGAATAAATTTAGATTTTTTTTACCTGAAAAAAGACATTTCCCCAAAATATGTCCTAGTGCCCCCCCCCCCCTTTTTTTTTTACAGTAAAGATTAATATCAGACCCTATCTTTTGGTAAGAAACATGGTAGTAGAATATTCACTATAGCATCACAGCATGAAACTGACTGTTCTGGGCCCATAAATATAGTAGCCTTCCTGACAAAACTTACCTTAAGAATTTTAAACGAGCACGTCAGATCTTCAGAAACGATCATTACAGCTGCAGCATTATCAAACTCTCCACAGTAATTAGGAGCACTAAAAATTGTTACCAGCTGCGGACGAAATAGAAACAAATTTGACAAATAATAGTTAGTTGAGTCGCATCCATATACAAAAGAGTATCAAAGTGATGTTTTCTTTCTTTGTGTTGCTTTCATGGGAGGGGAAACAAATACAGATGCACTGACAAGACCTGTTTGAAGAAATGTTTCACAAAGTGAAATATTTCAGCCATATTCAAAGTCATAATAACTATTACAAAAACTGTGCCGGAAGGAAAGGTTCAAGGTAGACAGTAATACGAAATGTGAGGATAATATCCAGGGATAAATGAACATCTCAGAGTGTACAACCAGGCTGAGAAAGTGTTCAGAGACCATTTGATGCCTATGTAAAAATGTTACTGCCACATGGACAACAAAACAGCTGATATATCTTCTTCGCATTCAGCTGCTGTAAACTCTGGCAGAATGTTCTAGCTCTTCATTCACTTCTTGAATTTAGTCTTATTCCAGCACTTCAATTTTGTATGAAAATCCATTTTACAGATCTGGCATATTTATATGCAGACTGCTGGTTCCTCGCCTCTCAGGCAGATGCACTCTGAAGGAAACACTCCCCAATTAGTCATCTTTTTGTGACATAATCGTTAGCTTCGACAGCGGTATCGACAACCAACCTTTCTGAAAACAACAGCAAAACACTGAATGAAAATTGCCTTGTAACATCACAAACTGTTAAACAAATGCTGCTGGGGGTGGTTCTGCAACATCTTCTTGTAGAGGATACGCAACTATCTTTTTTTTTACTGTCGTATGTCAGTGAGTCTACCCCCCCCCCCCCCCACCAACCCCCATGGGGAGAAGCTGACATATTTTCTGCATAAATAGGTTAGAATAACATTGCAAACCAATCACCTACCTTTCTTTTCTCAAAAAATGCATAACCATCTTCCACAACCTGAAATTTAAACAACAAGGTAAATAAATTAAGCTGATACAGCAACTATGTTGGAAAAAATGTAACGTCAATATTCTTCCAACAAACGTAATCTTAACAATGATGATGGATTTTCAAAGTCATTTTTCTAGGACAGGGAGTCGCCGTGACGGAGCGGCTAGACGCTCACCGCAGATCAAAAGGTCGTGGGTTTGCTCACTGGCAGAGCCAGACTTTTTTCAAAAATGATCTTAGCTCCCAGGTTGACCCAGCCTTGAGTGGGTACCGGGTGCAGTCCCCGGGAGTAAAGGCAGCCGGCGTGATGCTGACCACATCACCCATCTTGTGCCGATTGGTCTATACAATTATAGGTCTAGTCCTATTTGCTATACACCTAAAGGCGTGGAAAAGGGTCCTTTACTTTACTACTTACTTTTCTAAGCAAGTGCCTTTTGGATATGTGAAGAGATACCTTGGATCTGGCCACGTGCCCAGGGCCTGACAAAACCACAGATATCTTTTTCTTCTTCTTCGCGTTCACCAGCTGTACACTCTGGCGGAAAGTTCTGGTTGCTCGTCCACTAATGAACTGCAGTCCTGCTCCAGAACCTGAGTGTTGCGTGTGCATCAGTTTTACAGATCTCATTCTCTTGAATAGAGACTGTTGGTTCCTTGCCTCTCCGGCAGATGCACTCCAACTTCAAAGGAAGCTCCCCAATTAGTCGACTCTTACGACATGCTTTTGGGGAGGCAGTGGGTCTATTCTTGTTTTCCCCACAATGGGGCCCCGGAACCCACACAGGGGACCACAGATATAATTTATGATCCTGTTGACCGTGTGACATGGCCAACTATGCTTATCAGCGAGGCACATGGTAATGATCCACAAAATGCTAACAAGAACTCTTATAATATGAAATGCTTTGGTCATCTCATCAGAATGCTGTCACAACACCTACCATCACAGGTGCTACATCTAAATACCTGATGTCAAACCAAGAAGACGCTCAAGAACAAAATGGACTGATGACAATGAAAACACATCACACAGAATGACAATAGCCAACGCTACCCACTAAGCTGCTGGACTGCAAACTGTTTCTTCTCCTCATCCTCAGCGGCAAAAGAGGCAGCTGATAACGATGATGATAATTACGATGAAATACTACCTGGTGTGCCCTGGCAATCAGGCTGCAGCTGAACCGTCTCAAGTACTCCTTGACTATATCGCCCCCAAATGTGTATGAAACACCTCTGTCGTTCTCTCCCCAACCAGTAATGTCCTGTGGATTAATGGATTAAAAAAAATAATATTGATGCTTTCATATGAAGTAACCCTTTTCCTAAACAACAGGTTTGTTTCTCTCAAAAGAACACCCATTTTAAAGCAAAGAAATGCTATGAACGTATAAAAGATCCTCTTCCACACTTTCAGGCGTACTGGCCATATAGTGCTAGATCTATATTTTATAGACCAATCGGCACCCTATGGGTGACATGGTCAACATCACGCCGGCTGCTTTTACTTCCCAGGACTTAACCTGGTACCCATTTGGGGCTGGGTCGACCTGGAAGCTGAGGATATTTTTTGAAAAATTCTGCCCCTGTTCAGATTTGACTCATGACCTTCTGATCCGCAGACGAGCACCAAGTCGGTAAACCAAAGTGGCTACTATGAACATGTAGCGAAGCTGATACATAGAGATAAAGGTGAGAGAAGAAAATATACGCTTGAAGAGCTGAAAGCAGAAACTAAAGCACTATTGAAAGACATTCAGAAACAACAAAATAGAAAGGACAGAGAAAGAAATAGGAATAGATCAGCAGGACGTGTACAGTATGCTAAGAGATTAAGAGAAGAGATGAGTAGGGAACAGGAGGAAACATCACCAGAGATGGAACAACACAACTCCAAACATCAAACAAAAAACATCACCAGAGATGGAACAACACAGCTCCAAACATCAAACAATTAAAAAAACATCTGACAGAGATGGAACAAAACAGCTCCAAACATCAAACAATCAAGAAAACATTAACAGAGATGGAACAACACAGCTCCAAACATCAAACAATTAAAAAAACATCACCAGAGATGGAACAACACAGCTCCAAACATCAAACAATCAGGAAAACCTCTGACAGAGAACAGCAGTGAGACGATGGAAGTGATGACAAGACAACATGAAAAGTCCTTCAAGGACAGGTCAACATTACCAACCAAACTACCCACGATGTTAACAAGATAACGCTTCACAGCGACCAAGAAAACAACCAATCAGACTCACGAATCACCATCAAACAGAGCCACCAAATACCTCCCTCCCAACTGCAGGATGGACGGAAAGAATACAAACATCAGAAGCAATACCTTGCCACAGGAACCCAAAACCAAAACACATGATATGAAACAACAGTGGATGCCTACTTGAAAAACCCAAGCCAGCATGCTAGAGAAGAACTCAATTGACATCAAGAAACACAAAATGATAAACATTCTTTGACAACAAAACCCAACTGGACCACAGAAGCAAAATATGAACGAGCATTATGCTATAAAGATCGCAGTTATAAGCAAAATCTCTTAATAGCTGCTTGAATGAGGTCAAATTTTCATTTCTGTTTATCAACAAGTCAGTCAGTCAGCATTTGCTGGTTGGTTTTGGTTTTACTAGGCAATTTTATGCTCAGCAGTTTGCCATTGCTTTCTGAATGAGTCAATGCTCATATCACTGTTAAAATCAATGCAAAGCAGTCTGCTGCTAAACTGCCTGCAGCTGAATTAAACCAACCAGGTATTGCTTAATTACGAAACTGCAATCACAACCCCTAAACCACAGACACTGGAATTAGATTTTTCTTGTTCAAGTTCACAGCTGTAAACTTTGGGGAAAGTTCTGGTTGTCGGTCCACTTCTAGACTTTGGTCTGGTCCAAGGACCTGAGTTTAGCATGCACATTCATTTTACAGATCTGACTTATTTATATACAGACTGTTGGTTCCTCACCTCTCAGGCAGATGCACTTTGACTTTAATGGAAGTCAACTTTTACAACTGAATGAATGGGAAAAAAACCACTCTGATAAGGCAGAGGTGTAAAGATTAAAGTCGAGAGGATCGCCTTTATTGCATCAGGTTTTATCCCATATGGCTCGGTCTCCCTCCACAGAAGGGCTAACCGCCTGGCGAGAGTATCGCACAAAGTACAAACTCTGTAGCTCCGTTGACGATCCCCAGGAATGTCCGCTAAAAAAGGCACTTGTGAACTAAACGAACCAGCCGTGAAACGAACCCATGACCTTCAGAGTGCGAGGCCAACGATTTGACCACTTCACCACGGAGAGATGTGTAAAGAAGCAGTGTACTGAGAAGAGAATTGACTTCCATACCTACCTCAGACAGAGCACCTGCTGAGTTTAACCGGAAGGTGTCCATGTCAGTTACTAACAACAAAAACAAAACAAATGAAGGCAACTATGGCACAGCACTGCAGAGACTGTACCTCATCGGGATCCGACCACAGAATGTCACACAGCAGACCATGATCTGGAACATCACTTGGTCGATGAAGCTGGCGAATCTGCAAAGATTTAGTAGACACAAACTCACTTTTTCTTTTTCAGCTTTAGTAAACATTTATCTCTAATGCATTTCATCCCTCTTCTTAGCATTCACCAGCTGTAAACTCCAGCCAAAAGTTCTGGTTGTTTGTCCACTTCTGAGCTTTGGTCTTGTTCAAGAACTTGAGTTCGGTGTACACATCAATTTGTACAGACCTGGATTATTTTTTTGTATTGTAAACTGTTGGTTCTTTTTTTTTTAAACCAGGACATCTGGGAGACAAGCGAGAGAAAGACCAAGAGAGAGATGGATAAATGGTGTAGCGGAAACAAAGAGATTACAGCCACCAGAGAAGTGCAAGACAAATACAAAAAACCGCGACACTGGGCTACAGTCAGGTATCAGTGAGAGGACACAACCACGACACTGGGCTACAGTCAGGTATCAGTGAGAGGACAAAAGAAGAAACTGTTGGTTCCTCGCCTCCCAGGCGGATGCGCTTCGACTTCACAGGAAACATTCCCAATTAGTCACATCCTGTGCTATGCTTTTTAGGGAGGCAGTGAGTTTATTCCACACCCCCCCCCCCCCCCCCTTGAAATGGGGCTCTGGAATCCACATGTGGATCTCTAATGTATGAATTGTGAATCATCATCATCCTGTTGTGCCATGGCTATTATATGACACACAGGGCATGCAACAGATCGTCCATTACATTCTTCTTCTTCTCTGTCGCCTGGCACATGGTGTTGTGGTTTACAGCTAGGCTATGTTATCTGCCCCTTTTACAACATGCTTGTTAGATGAGCAGTGAGATCATTTTATCATTAAATTGTAACCAATGATGAACATGTCTATAAATAAGTTTGGGGAGGGGGGGGGGCTGTGGTGCAGTGGCTAAACACTCACCTTGAGCTTGAAGGATGTAGGTTCAAATCCTAGATTGTGGCTGATTTTTTTTTTTTCAAAAATAAAGTTGGCTCACCAGGGTGATGCTGACCACATCTCCCACTTTGTGCCGATTGGTCTATAAAAATATAGGTCTAGGCCTATATGCCTGAATGCGTGGAAAAGGGTCCTTGACTTTTTTTTAAAACTTTGACATTGGCTCTCAGGTTAATCCAGCCTAAAATGGGTACTCAGTAAAGTCCTGGGAAGTAAAGGCTGCCCACTGAGTGCGGATTGGTCAATAAAATAGCACGATTTGCCTAATGGCATGGAAAGGGGGTCCTTTACTTTACGTCACATACAGAACTTTGTGTGAGTTAGTTATAATGACAACACTTCATTAGGAGATGAAAGGTAGAAGAGGAGGAAGGAGGAGGAAATTGACATTACCTGGTCCAAATCGGTAAGATCAGGTGAGAGACCCCCATGCATGCACAATATTGTACAGTCTACAAGAGCACCTGAAAGCACAAACATCCAAAGTAAAGTAATGGACCCTTTTCCCCCACCTTGAGGCGTATAGGGCATATAGGGATAGACCTTTATTTTATAGACCAATCAGCACAAGATGGGTGATGTGGTCAGCATCCTGCCAGCCACCTTTACTTATCGGGACTGCACGTGGTACCCAAGGCTGGGTTGAAGTGGGAGCTAAGGTCATTTTTTTTTTAAATGCTTCGCCAGGGAGCGAACCAACAACCTTCCGATCCATGACGAGCGTCTAGCTGTTCTGCCACGGCGACTCCTACAAACATCCAAAACAAGTTAGAAAATCTTCTTCTTCTTAGCATCCACTAAGCTGTAAACTCCTTTTGAACGCTCTTGTTGTTTGTCCACTTCTCAACTTCTGGTATTGTTGCAGATCATACAGAGAGCTTCATACATGTACATGTGTATGTTATAAGATAGGCACTTTCCTGTATAGGCGTAAACACATACAAAAACTCTATGAAGTAAACTATAAAAATCTGTCTTATAAAGAATCGAACCCAAGGCCTACAAGCCAGCAGACAAGCATCTAGCCACTACTCTACTCCCCCCCCTACCCCCAATTTCACATGCATAGGTATGTGGCAAAAAATGTTTATAGGGACCTTTTCCAAACCAATACCTATTGGGTATACTGCTTTCTTTCTCAATCAAATACTATAAATGACTACATATGTTGGAAATTAAAATGTGACTAACAGACAAATCATCTTCTTCTTAATGTTCACTGGCTGTAAACGTTGATGGAAAGCTCTGGTTGGCTGTCCACTTCTGGACTTCAATCTTGTTTCAGGGCTTGAATTTTGCGTGCACATTAGTTTTACAGATCTAGTTTATTTATGTGCACACTGTTGGTTCCTCATCTCTCAGGCAGATGCACTTCAATTTAAAAGGAAACGACCATAACTTGTTACGGGGAGCCAGTGGGTCCATTTTACCCCCCACCCCACCACAAATGAGGCTGTGGAACCCACACAGGGAGAACACACAAATAACCAGAGATAAGTACTCACACACTGGTAAGCAGTTAAAACAGTCGGTGAAGGTTTTCCACAGTTTAATGTTGTATCGTCTTTTACATTCATCATAGAAGCCATATATCCTGACAGACAGAAGAAATGTGAACTGAAGCTACAGCATTAATTCGATCAGTTCAGTTCTTGATTGGATACAGTTATTCCAACCAGCATAAGAAAATACTGCATGATTAAGTGATTGTGATTTTACACCGTTCCACAGCATAAATACAGAATGTTTTATTCTATGATTATTATTACTGTTTATAGCATAGATATAGATTACTTTATTCACGACTGTTACATTACTAAATTTATAGCACAAGTATCGATTGTTTTATTATGTGATTGCTATTATTATACCCATATAGTAATGGCAAAGACTGATTTATTCTGTGAATTTAAAAAAAAAAAATGTGTGTATGTATCTGTTCTGGTTATTACTTTAAATGTTTCTGTTGTAGTTATTTTCAATGATTCTGTTCTAATCGTTATTTTTAATCTTTCTGCTCAATCCGTTTTTTTTAAATGATTGTGTTGTAATAGTTATTATACATGATTCTGTTCTAGCGGTTACCTTGTTTATATCTGGGTTGTACAGAAAATTCCTGATGGCCTTTTATCACAACACAGAAAAAGTGTCGGCGCATGAATTAATCCGTGCTGATGGAGATCGTCAATTGTCTAGAACAGTGGCCTCCAACCTTTTTTTAATAGGTGGCGCTTTCCTTGATATATGGCACGACCCCCCCCCCCCCCCTCCCCAACAAAATGTGATTTTTTAAAAAGACGGTCAACAAAAGAAAAATCCCAAGTACTGATGACTAGAACTTGAAGAAAAACATGCACATAAATCAAAGTGTCAAATAACAAGAAACAATTATCAAGAACTAGTGATTTAATGCCAAAATATCAGTGTAATGCAGTGTTTCCCAGTGTTTCTTAGTTGCAGTGCCTTTTTTCTATTAACATTTTTCTGCGGCGCCCTAGCGTAAGTTAAAGTAGGGTTATTCGCATGTAAGAGATTAAAACAAACAAAACTCGTGTATCTTCGAATATTTCGTGGCTTCCCAGGGTGCCGCAGCGCACAGTTTGTGAATCACTGGTGTAATGGCTGAATCTGTTTTGCTTGATGATATCTGCTATTTTTTGGTCTGATACTGGACAAGGCACAATGGAGATCACTCTCCACATCAAGCTGACAGCGCTGTTTTGTTTTTATTCATGACTACTAAATCCAAATGCACTCAGTTTCAAAACTGCTGTGTTGTAGGAAAGAAACATGAATGAAAGATACCTCTGTGGTTGCCAGATTTATTCAGTATACACTGACCAAAACTTAAATATGAAAAGACACTTGATGTCTGAGTCTTCTGGGGAATAGTAATATATCACGGGTTGTCTGGGGACTGAAAGACTAAAGTACCCTGATAACAGCAGACAAAAGATGTATTAAATAAGGTCAATGTAGAAGAGCTCAAGCAAAAGCAGCATTTTATAACATAAAGGCAATCAAAGGTCTGTCAATTTAGGTGAGAAGGAAAGTTCTTTAGATATTTAAAGACCCAATTTTGATGAAGACAAGTAAATAATGGATAATCAGCTGCTTGGTGAAAAATGTATGTGCAATCAGCAAAGATGTTGTTTATAAACTTCTTCTTAGCATTCTCTGGCTGTAAACTCTAGTGGAAAGTTCAGGTTGTTCAGTCACTCCTGGACTCTGGTCTTGATTCTGAACTTGAGTTTTGTGAGCACATCCGTTTTACAGATCTGGCTTATTTGTATGCAGACTGCTGGTTCCTCACTTCTCAGGCAGATGCACTGTGATTTTGAAGGAAACACCTCTAATTAGTCACCTACGACAAGCTTGTTAGGGGTCAGAGAGTCTATCCTTTGCTATCCAAAACGGAAGTCCCCAGAACCTGTATGTTTTAAAAGGCAATGAGGAGAACTCTGTGGACAAACTGAAAATGTAAATGGTTTGAAATAAATGAACCCACAAAGAGAAATGACTACTCATATCAGAAGGAGACAGTTAACATTCTTTGTTTACGCCATGAGAAAAGGGAAACTGAGGCACACCATGGCAACGGGAAAATGGGAACAGAAGAGAGGCAGAGGGGGAACCTCAAAATAATGATACTGGACAGTTAAGCATCAAGTCAATGAGGAAAATATGTGTTAGAAATGTTGAATTAAGAATCAACATCATAGCATCCATGACACTCTCATAAGCGCTCAATTCTCCACTTCAGCAGCAAGCCAGGAGTTCCGATTCCAAAGGTACCATAACTGTCTGATTGTATATCCGTCTCGCCTTTCCCCTGAGTGTTGGGCATCGGCCAGATCCCCTAGTAACTCCTCGCAGAGCAAGTCTCCTCAACCGTAATGATCTATCTGTGCCTCCAAACTGTTCCCTCGCTCCCAAAGGGCCCTTACAACATCTAGCTTGTTAGAAATGACATAAGACAGAAAGCGATGCACAGAGGTGATCACCAGCACCACATGGGATATAAGAAAAATGATGTGCTGCAGGCACTATCAGAGTATAGTTACCTGTTAATGGAGGCACACTCATGATTCCCCCTCAGCATGAAGAAATTCTGTGGGTACTTGATCTTGTAGGCCAAAAGTAAACATATCACCTCTAAGGATTGACGTCCTCTGCTTAAGCAAATTTACAAAACAAACACTGATTGTACTTTTCAATTATTACATTTTCTCTGAATGTGAAAAATTTTTGGTATTGTAAAGATAATGGTATTTTTATGGTAAATACTTTTGATCATGGTTCTGGGCGTCGCAGGTTGACCCAGCCTCAAATGGGTACCAGGATGTGCGTCCTGGGAAAGTAAAGACGGCCGTCGTAATGCTGACAACATTACCTAGTGCCGACTGGTCTGTAAAAATATGCAAGCTCTTCCCATATGCCCGATGCGCCTAAAGGCCTGAAAAGGGATCTTTACTTTTTTTTTTCTTTGCTATGGTAAATGCACCCAAAGGAATTCAAACTGTAGTGTTATAAAATACTCAGAATTTATTACAGAATAGTGAAATGCTAAGTGAATCTTGTACATCACAGAATAGTGAAATGCTAAGTGAATCTTGTACATCACAGAATAGTGAAATGCTAAGTGAATCTTGTAAAAACTAGGCAAATTGTGTCCATTGTAGAAAAGTATTAAAATACTAAGCAAATCTTGACCATCTTCATATAGTTAATAGTGAAATGCAATGGATACCATCCATTTATGGAGTTCCTGGAAAGGAAAGAGCTGATAAACTAGCTAAGGAAGATGCAACTGAAGAACAATCCGACACATCAGTCTCTTTTCAACAGAAGAAGAGAATAATCAAATCAATCAGAAAGCCACCAAAACTGGCACAAGACGATTACCATTTTATGGACACACCAGAGCAAGTTGTTATCCTACGACTTAGAACAGGGCACATTTAACTTTGCAGCCATATTTACACAAAATTTAAGATTTATGAATCAGCCATGTGTACAACAGATCACATCCTCCAAGACTGTCCCAGATACAACGTTTCCTGACAAAACTTCTGGTCAAGAGAGACACTGGGGGAAGCTAACTGAATTACAAAAGACAGTGAAGTTCATACTAGACAGCATTGCAGATATAATTTATTTATAGCACTCACTACCCAGAGACCAGGGGGAATTACTAGAAGTCCAAGTCCACACGAAAAAATCCCAGCCCTTACCGGGGATTGAACCCGGAACCTTCAACACTCGAGGCGGACACCATGCCTCAAGACCATGCAGCCCTTCCCCACCCCCACCCTAAAATAGAAGAAAGAAATACTGAGTAAATCTTGTACATCACAGAAGAGAGGTAATTTAGAAGCCATATCTGGAGAATATCGACAGTTGTCAGGTGCAAACTATCTTGTGTTTGAAGAAAACTATTGCTTTCATATTGACTGTGCATAAATGGTGCAACCGCACTGTATATAAATTGTGTCAAGATATTTCGGAGCTCTAGGTAAGTGGATGAAAATAATATTTAATTTACTAACTAACCTCTCACAGCAAGTCACTCTTTGCCTCTTTACTAATTGTTGACTAACAGTATAATTATATGGTTTGTTAATTTTTGTAAACTGACTTTTGCTTTGCTTTGCGAACACTGGCTGTAAACTCTTGTGGAAACTTCTGGTAGTTCATCCACTTCTTTTGCATATTTGCAGTTCTACGGTCTGTGTTAATTTTTGTAAACTGGCTTTTGCTTTGCTTCGCGAACACTGGCTGTAAACTCTTGCGGAAACTTCTGGTTGCTCATCCACTTCTTTTGTATATTTGCAGTTGTACGGTCTGTGTTAATTTTTGTAAACTGGCTTTTGCTTTGCTTTGCGAACACTGGCTGTAAACTTTTGCGGAAACTTCTGGTAGTTCATCCACTTCTTTTGCATATTTGCAGTTCTACGGTCTGTGTTAATTTTTGTAAACTGGCTTTTGCTTTGCTTCGCGAACACTGGCTGTAAACTCTTGCAGAAACTTCTGGTAGTTCATCCACTTCTTTTGCATATTTGCAGTTCTACGGTCTGTGTTAATTTTTGTAAACTGGCTTTTGCTTTGCTTCGCGAACACTGGCTGTAAACTCTTGCAGAAACTTCTGGTTGTTCATCCACTTCCCTTGCATATTTGTTATAAAAAAATTTGGAATGATAAGAAATTGATTTCATCCAACAAGATGAAACTGGACAAATTTGTTTGTGCTGTTTGTACCTTGAGGATACATATTTAATAGTGCTATAAGTACTGTTAAGAAAACTATTCTGGGTGGGGAAGGGGGGGGGGGGGTATTTTATGACCAACAGACTATCTGAATGCTGAGAAAGAGACTTCTGATTCAATGATAACCTTGTTAATAGCTATTGCTTCTTCTTCTTCTTCATTTGTCTGCAGATGTAACTGTTATGCCTGTTTTAGTAGAGCTGTGACATCATATCTGAACACTCCAGCCAATACATCTGACTTCTTCATGCATTTGTTTAACATTCCAAAAAAGGTTGCTTTAATTAATCTGCAGATCTGTCCATTGACAAGACTGTAAAAACATGTGTGCTGCTCGCTTGCTGATCCAAAGGTCTTGGGTTCAAATGTGAGCAGAGCCAGACTTTTTTTTTTATATAATCTTGGCTCCAAGGTCAACCCAGTCTTAAATGGGTACCAGGTAGCCTTGGAAAGTAAAGCTGGCTTGCATGATGCTGACCACACCACCCAATGCCCAATATGCCTGGAATCATGGAAAATAGTCCTTTTATTTACTTTACTAAGAGATGCCTGCTGTAGGTGCATGAATGTGAATCTAAAAGGTCTAGGAATAAACGGCAGAAAAAAGGTTTCAAAATTGTTTTTTTTTCAACTGCAACCAAAAATGTAAAATTTAAAAAGCTATCACGCTTTGAAATGGTTCTGTTTACCTGTCAACATAGTCACCCAAGAAAATGTAGTTGGCAGTCGGAGGGTACCCACAGGAATCAAAATGGCGCAGCAGATCATCGTACTGACCATGGATGTCCCCAACAATGTTTACAGGTGCATCCAGTTCAACCAACATGGGCTGCTCCATAAAGATGTCCCTCGACAATATACACAAATGTCTTATGTGTGCCTCTGGGAGCTGAACCTGTAATTGACACTGACACCTTTCAAACAAAAATGTCTTTGTGGCATTTGTAATTGTGTTGAGATTTAAAAACCATTAAATGAATCTTGGAAGTTGTAATGGGGGATATTTTCGACCCAGTTTAGGATGGTTTGGGGGAAGGTCTAAAGCTGACCGAAAACACCGAGATAGTCCAGATACTTGGATTAAACGAGAATCTGGAGATAGGTGACTAACCACTAGTTATCACGGGGACCACGGTGATGCGACCCAAGGTCGCCACGGGAAAAGTAAAGGACCACCACGTGTTGTCACGTGAAAGGAACCCGTGGTATAAGTCAGACTTGACTCTGGTCAAGTTTAGTTTGTGTCGACCTGTTGGAGCGAGAGGACGAGCGACTGAATGTGCGAATGTCTACGTGAGTGCCTGAGGAGAAAGGAGACCTGCCGACGAAATGTTAAGCTGAGATCGACCATGCCAGCGTGTGAGATGTCCAAACGTCAGTGTTGAATCCATGGGACCCATCGTTGCTTGAATGCCTGCAGAAGACTGTTCGTTAAATGGCTGCGTGAGTTTGTGTACGAAAGCGGTTCAATTAGACATCGACTGGACGATTCTGTTTGTCGTAAGTTTTAATACGTCAATAAAGTAATGTCTCGTAAGCTCACATCGGTGTCGGCTTGTGCCAGGTGTGTAACGTGAAGCGTGTCAGAATATCATCCACCACACACGCATGAACACCGCCTAGACAACGAGTAGAAATACAAAACCATTTATTACAGAAGTCCCGGATTGTGCGCATATTACATCATTCTGTGTTTACTACTCATTCCAGTAGCCTCGTAGTGTTTTTTTTTTATCATACATTTTCTCAAACTTGTGTTATATTGTGATATATGTACATGAATCTTCCAGGCCTACAAGATGACCTCCCTGAAGAATTTAAGTCCATCAAGATCCAGTTTCTGCCTCCCAACACCACCCTGTTACTCCAGCCCATGGACCAACAAGTTATTTCTAACTTTAAGAAAAAAGCACTCTTCGAGCATTGTTTTCAGGTGACTGAAGGGACTAAACTCAATCTCAAAGAGTTTAGAAAAAAATCACTTCCACATTGTTGCCTGCCTCAAGATGATCGACAAGGCAGAGGAAGGGGTTACCAAGAGAACCCTAACATCTGCTTGGAAGAAGCTTTGGCCCGAGAAAGTTGTCGATTTGTGACTTTGAGGGGTTCGAGACAGCACCTGTGGAACCTGTAGCCAACGAGATTCTGTCTTTGGCCACTATCATGGGACTGTAGGTGGATAACAGTGATATCGAAGAGCTTGTGGAAGAGCACAGGCAAGAGCTGACCACCGAAGAGCTTATGGAGTTGCATTGTGTTTCTTAGCAAGAAGTTTTGGAGGAAAGTTTGTCAGAGGAGGAGGTAAAAGAAAAGCAACAATCTTCTGGCAAAATAAGAGAAATGCTGAAAGCATGGGAAACTGTTGCATCTTACATTGAGAAGCATCACCTTAATAAGGAGGTGGCTATGCGCGCTGCAAATTTATTTAATGATAATGCTGTGTCACATTTTCGCCAAATTTTGAAGCGCAGGGAAAAATTCTGAACATCTTTCTAGTAACAAAAATAATTAGCTATGTATCATAATTATTTCAACTGTTTTTTTTTTTCTGCAAATCGAATTCGCATTCTAGGTGGGTTCATTCTACGGCTAATAATGTTATACTGTACTAAAGGGAGGCATACAAATCACAACCCATGGTGATGGTGAGTGTGACTAGAAAGACCTGCCTCCATTAAGAAATGTTTTTTCAAAACCAATTAAAGTGAGGAATTGTGTTCCTTCTCTCCATATCACAAAGCCAGGGCAGTATTATGGAGGCCATGTGTTGACCATGCCTCATGATCTCTATGTTGGTCCGCCTTGTTTACTCCAAAGGAAAGGTAACAACAATATGTTTTGGAACAAAGTATGCTGCTAGACCAGAAGAGCACTGCTTCATCTGTCTGCCCTCCTCAGCAGCTTTATCAGCTTGTTCATTTCCTTTTACACCTGCATGCTTTGGCAAGAAAATGAAACTGATATTTGTCAGCTGTGACTGCCTCACAGATTCCAACCAGTCTTCAGTCCCAGCCCATCGCTATCCTCCTAAGCATACTCATTGAGTCACTGAACAAGCACGAACAAGCATGCTCAAGTGAAGGCCTGAGTCTCCAATTAGGTTATTGCTTGTCAGAACCCTGTGAGTACAGTCATGTGGCGGATTAGACCACACAAAGGGTGTACCGTGTTCAGGGTACACCCCAGAGTTGACACAAAAGTCAGTGGCATAACTGGACAAGTCTGTGTTGTTTGCGACGGCAAAACTAGCGCTCAGTAGAGACCACTTGAAGACTACAAGTAAGAGTGAACTCTGCTCCAAACAAGTTTGCAACATGATTGTCCCATGTCTTACTGAGCGGGTTAACCGGTCAAAAGGCACGAGGTGAGAGAACAGAGGGATTTGAGGTGTAGTGTTAGGACTGAGTGGACGTGTTAGCGAGACAGAGATAGAACGTTAGAGTTAGTATATTTATTTAGTGACTGCATAGATGATTTACAGTGTCCTGTTAGAATAGGATAGTCTTTTTGTGCTGTGTATTTAAATGGTGTAATGTACTGTGTTGTTTCACAATAAGTAGGTAGTGTCCATTTATTTATGACCAGTTAAATCAGTTAAATACATGTTCTGTGAGATAATGTCTAGCTTTGTCACACTGACCCCGTGCTCGACAGAGGCTTTGATATCTTGGTCAGTGTGACGATAGGAAAGAAAGTCCCCTGCACAGGTGTGGTTTGCACACTCGAGATTGCCTGTGGAAAAGACTGGAGAGCGAGGCGATTGTAAAGTTCGTTCGGCCAGAGGGTCAAGGGAATAGGTGGCCACACAGCAGGAAGTAAACTGTCTGTTGTAATATCTGTACTTGCAATAAAGATTGTCATGTGTGCCCTGTGTGCGTTCGGGTCCAGTGTGTGTCATAGTTAATTTGTCTGTCATAAGCCCATTTACGAGCCACGGACCATCAAGGTCACCCAGATGTCTGTGACACTGCTGTATGCATATGTAAATACATACTTTTACATTATTAACATTATGATCACCAGGTGACTGACAAACTGGTATGATCGATGCTGCTCTTCTACAAACTATGTAGGAATATTTAAAAATCAGTTCTTAACAGTACACATGTCCTCAAGAGTACCAATAAATAAACTTGATTACTTGGTTACTTGATTAATTCAAGAGTACCAAGCATTCTACATACAGACATTATCAAATTGCTAAAATAAAATGGACTGCATCTTTTAAAAGATCTTACATACTTTTTAGTATTGAATGAATTAGCAGCCAGAAGTATAATGTTGAGAAGTGACTGGCCAAATGGTTAGAACATTTCCTCAGTTCCCTGTGAGGGTCTGGGGCTCCTTGTGGTGGCAAAAGAAGAGACCCACTACACCCACCATCCAACAAGTAAGTCACAAAAGCTGAATAATTAGGGGTGTCTCCTTCAAAGTTGGAGCGCATTTACTTAAGAGGCAAGGAACCTACAGTCTGCATGAGAATAACCAATAAATGGATGTGCATGCAAAACTCAGGTTCTGGTAAAAAACTAAAGTCCAGATGGGGATAAATAAAACAACCAGAACTTTCCACCGGAGCTTACAGCTGGTGACCATGAAGAAGAAATCCTCACTAAGTTATTTAAAAATTTTCTGTTAGGGACAAACATACAAACCCAAACCTGCACAGTTCATGGTAACTGCATAAGCAATGTGGCCTTAAATCCTCAGGTCCCAGGGCCCCACCCTCTGTTTTCATCGCCGTAAAAATAGGTAATTACAGGTGGTAAAGATAGAGAGTATATAATGTAGTGTGCAGTACCTGTTTTCCTGGATGGTTCCTAGCACTCAGCAGCTGTGCTATAATGTTATCAATGTCGATATACGGAGGTCTGCTCATGACGAAAACTGCTATCAAGTCTCTGTGTTTTCCTGGTCAGTGATCCGCTGGCCACCACTTGCCAGATGCCTCTGAATATTAAAAAAAAAGGAAGTGTGTTCTAATTTTTTTGTTAAAGTTACTTGCTTATCCTATAAGGCTATACAATCAGGTTTACTCAAAGGCCAAACTTTTGAAACTGGCGATTATCATGGGCAACAGCCCCAGCATAGAAAGATAATTATTACAATATAATTGGCAGTGATCCGTGGGCCATCTGCTAGGCTTCTTCGGCCCAAATTTGGCTCGCTGGCAGTAGTTGAATAGCCCTGCTTTACAGAATGTCTCAAACCAACTATAGCATTAGTTGGCTCTTTAGTCAGTGTTTCAGCTGTATGAATAGATGTTGTATGTTTAACTTGTTTATGTTAGCCCATGTTGTTTACTATAGGGATACAATTGTGTTGCAGTTATTGTTCATGACTGTATCGATGCGCCCAAAGTGAGACTATTATGTTTTCATAAATAATTCTCTTCTTCTGCCCTTAAAAGGGTGGTTGGTATTTTGTATTGTGGTTCACAGCTAGGGTGTGATATACGTGCCTTTCGAACCAACACATCCAATTTCAGCAAACCCTTTCCCCCGTGTGGGCTCCGGGGCCCCATTTTGGGGAAAACAAGAATAGACCCACTGCCTCCACAAAGGCATGTCATAAGAGTCGACTACTTGGGAAGCTTCCTTTGAAGTCGGAGTGCATCTGCTGGAGAGGCAAGGAACCAACAGTCTGTATTCAAGAGAATGAAATCTGTAAAACTGATGCACACGCAACACTCAGGTTCTGGAGCAGGACTGCAGTTCAGAAGTGGACGAGCAACCAGAACCTTCCGCCAGAGTTTACAGCTGGTGAACGCGAAGAAGAAGGAAGAAGCAAACCCTTCACCGGTCACCTTTTATGACATGCTTGTCAAAGTGCATTGGGTCTAATTTTTTTGCTTCCAAAATGAAGCCCCAAAACCCATACAGGGGTCATAAGTAATCAAAATCTAATTATATTTATGCAAGTATTCCAAAACAGGTGCAAATCTTCTGTGAGGATTACATTTATGAACAAAAGCTAGTCAACATTTTCCTGTATGTATGAAGTGTTTAAAGAGGCCGAAGCCCAAAGACAACTTATCACAGACATCAGAAGGAGACAGTCATCATTTTTCGGCCATGTTATGAGAAGAGGGAAAATAGAACATGTTGTGACCACTGGAAAGATCTGTGGAAGGAGGGATAGAGGAAGACAACGAGAGAAGATTCTTGACAGTCTTGTTGCACGGGATGGAGGTGTGTCAGCACACAAAGTGATACATGCTGCAGGAGATCGCAGATTGTGGAGAGGCATGATCGCCCACGCCAGTCGGACCTGATGATGATGATGAAGTGTTACCTTTGCCTCACTTGGAGTGACAGCACCGATCACTGGGTTACTCCACAGGGCACAGACATCGTACAGCAATCAAAGTTTCAGCAATAACACCACTGAGGAACCTGACTTTAGCATTTCCATTTACTACTGTGCTGAAAAACTCATCAACTAAAACTGAAAAATCAAGCAATGACAAAAATAAGAATTAAATTACCAAACGATTTTAGTCAATTGAAATAAAAATAATTTACAAAGAAACACAAAAATTACAGATTGTGTTTATAACAATATTATTTCTAAACATAAACCTTGCAAACTATGTAGCAGGCTTGCCTGAAAGCTCGGTTGATATGTGTTTGGCCATATAAAAAGATGTAACTAACATACTATGACAACTATATTAAAGGGGAAAATTTAAGACAAAGGAGTAAGTGGAAACAGTGGCACAAATGTTTGATACCATCAAGACATGGACAAACAGCGGCCTCAGCGGGTGTACAGCCTATATAAGAGGGGAACAAATTTTAAGAGATCCATTGCAGCCAACCTTCATGATTCCAAAAGTAACCAGTCTATTGAAATGTGTCTGTGAATATTCATTAACATATTTACATATTCATTAACATATTTATATAATCAATGGGGATCAGATTTACCCAGGATTAGCATTTTCCTGCATTTATTTTTTAACTGAGCTTTTCATGTCTTCTTCTTCTTCGTGTTCACCAGCTGCAAACTCTGGTGGAAAGTTCTGGTTGTTCGTCCACTTCTGGACTGCAGTCCTGTTCCAGAACCTGAGTGTTGTGTGTGCATCCATTTGTCAGATCTGACACATTTGTGTGCAGACTGTTGGCTCCTTGCCTCTCAGGCAGATGCACTCCGACTTCAAAGGAAGCTCCCAATTAGTCGACTCTTGCGACATGCTTTTGGGTAGGCAGTGGGTCTATTCTTGTTTTCCCTACAATAAGGGCCCCAGAACCCACACGGGGAGCTTTTCATGTGAATTAATAGACACTGAAATAAATTATTAACAGAAAATCTCTGCTACGGACAAAGACAAAAATTTGTCACATGTGTGGATGATGCACTGTTGACGTCTGTACCAAACCCTCGTCTAAAATTGAAATTGATATATTTATGCAATTTAATTACTGCACACGTCATAAATACCCAAACAATGCTAATATAGTAATAACTAGTTGTCAATCTCCTGCCAAATTCCGCAATTAAGTGGAAATTTTGCAAATTTCGAAACTGTCAAATCATTAATGTTTACTATCATACATTCTTAATCTTCTTTGCCAAAGCAAAATGGTAAGTGGTTGAAAACATCTGAACCCAAATGCCTTGATTAGCAGTCAGAAACAAGAGATTATTAATACTTATTTAATTAATAGTATACCTATTTTAAGTTTTAAGTATTTTCCTACCCTACCATACTCAATTCTCTCTCACTTCATCGTTCCATTAGGTCCTGAATTAGAACTTTCTTGCTCCAAATTCAAAGAATCGAGCATTTGCAAACTGAGCTGCGCTACCAGAATGTTTATCAAGTGCTAGTCTACATGCAATAATTTCATGCCATCACGTAACGATCTTAGTTTACTCACCAGCCTACATTGGGAAAAAACGTAAACATTCATTTTCATATGCGCCTTGTCAGTTGACTTCCCCTGTCTCCTTGTCCAATCACCGTGCGGGCATTACTTTCTGCTTCCAAGCAGGCGGAACTACAACATCTAAACTGCAATTCGCAGAAAAGGGCAATTCGGGGAATTATTATTATAACGATTAGGAACATCAAGTCATTATTTAAGGTAACTTTACTCTGGTCTCTGGGATAGTAAGACTGTGTATTGTTGTGCACGTAAAAACATTTCTTGGCAGTTGGAAATCCGAAAGAGTAGCCTTATGGCGTTGCCCAGGCAAAATTTTGACTTAAAAACCTACTTAAAGTAGTTCAGGACCCTCGCCTGCGCTACGGAGTTCGTGCATGGACTGAGATTCTTCGGACTCAGGCTTGAGTTAGAAGTCGAACGGAGCACTTATGGGTTATTTACCTTGCATTATTATGCTAAACCGTTGTTTAAACCAAAGCATTCAGCAGATTTTTCAGTCACTGAGATAACAACATGAGATCCCAGGAAGAATAGACCCACTGCTCCTTAAGTTGGCTGCTTTTCTCAGGGGTCTCTTTTCACAGGTATTAATTTTACGTAGGTTAGCCTTTGATAATGTCAGAGTCTGACACTAGTAGCACAGTGCTGGTATGAACATGCTGTTTTTTCCTTTGAGCCTCGAGCATCTGCCAGAACCTTTCGTCCTTCCCCCCTGCATCAATCTCACCAGACTTTGGTGATCCATCTGCTCCTCCGAACTGTACACGCTCTCCCACAAGGCACTAACCACGTCTGCCTTATTGGAGAAGGCGGTGAACCAACCTAACCCCGTTACCCTGCTCTTCTATAAAAAGCGTGGAAAGAGTTGTGTAGTATAATTCCCCCCCCCCCCCCCCCCCGACAAATACTAGACCATAGTTCGACAAGTCTAAATGTGATGAACTTCCTCATTTGTAACAGAACCAGGCCCTTGCACGATGAAAGCGTTTCAAATGTCAAAAAAGTCTCGGATAGTGCACAGCCCTTGTTAACTAGGGCCGTCGCTGTAGCACAGTGATTATACGCTTGTATGTTGACATGAATGTCTTGGGTTCGAATATTCGTAATAGAAAAGGGTACACAGGTCAATCGAGTATTTTAAAAAAGTAAGTACCCAGAAATGTTCTGGTAAGTTTTTTTTTTTTTTTACTTGTTTTTGACGTTTGTTAATTGTGAACTCTGGTGGAAAATTTTGGTTTTTCTTCCACTTCTAAATTGTGGCGTTGTTTTCAGAACATGAATTTTGCGTGCACATGCATTTTACAGTTCTGATCTATTTAGATACACACTGTTGGTTCTTTGCCTATCAGGAAACATACTTAATCAGTTGCCTTTTACGACATGCTTGTTAGGGGTCGGGCAGTAGGTCAGTTCTTATTTTTGGGAACCTACACGGGGAGTTCATATAAGTAAAATCTATCATTGTAATTTTGACCCCCAAACACCATCGAGTTCTGCCTGGTCTAAAGATATACATGTCTAGCAAAGCGGTTCTCAACCTGTCAGTCGCGACCCTTTTTTTTTTGGGTCGAACGACCTTTTTACGTAGGTCGCAGAAGACCATCGAAAAACACATAATCATTAAAATTATGAAGTAGTAACGAAAATAATTGTATGATTGGGGATCGCCACAACATGAGAACTACATTAAAGGGCTGCGTCATAAAGAAGGTTGAGAGCCACTGGCCTAATCTTATTGACAGGTCACACGATGATGATGATAATGGTACTGACCATAACTGCAGCGAAATTGTCTGACACAATTGGGCGGGTTTTTTGCAGTTTTAATTCTCTTCATCGATTTTAGTATACGCAGCAGTTTAAATAGGCCAGCGAGTGAACTTTCCCTGTTGACTTGTATAGAACCCTTTCACACCATCGAATACGGCATATCTGCTAGACTAGTGGTTCTCAATCTACCCAATGCCGCGACCCTTTAATACAGTTC